ACAACACAAGACATAACACCTTAATCTCCCACAGGTAAAGCAGGGGGGCCATGGCAACCAATGTCCTGCTGCTGCGAAGATTGTTAAAAATATGCTCAAGAGGTCCCAGGGAGAGGATCATGGCCCCTGCTACAGAGGAAAGCAAAAAACCCCATGGTCTATACTAATCTGATGATAGGATAAAATTCCTTCCCCAAATATGGCAAAATTCCTTCCCAAAATATTGCAGTCAGTCTGACCCTAAATAGAGGGCAAAGACCCTATAGCCAAGAACCTCTTGTTTTAAGTCGCAGCAGAAGCATTGGCACGCCCCAGTCAAAATCTCCAGTCTTGTCTGCAGCCAGCACCCAGTGCCTCTGAGGAAGGGTTAAGAAAAACAAGCCTGATACACGTAGCAGCAGGAGGGTAAAAGTCTCCTCCCAGCCCCATATGGAAATCAGCAGTGCCCAGAAACATGGGGAAGAACATAGTAGAACATAGGCATAGCTATGCCTAGATCATCCCTAACCAGTGGCTGTCCAGCCTCCCCTTGAACACCTCCAATGATGGAGATGCAAAAACTTCCCTAACTTGTCTGTTCACTTGCCTCACTGTTTAAACAGTGAAGATTTTTTTCTTGATATCCAGTCTAAGCCTACATTGCTGCAACTTCCAGACAAGTCTGTGTCCTGCTCTCTGCAGCAAGTGAGAAAAGATGTTTTACTACTTCTTTATGGCAACTTTCAAGTATTTGAAGACATGCTGTCATGTCCCCTCTTAAGCACCTTTTTCACAAGCTGAACATGATCACCTCCTTCAACCTATCCTCATATAACTTGCCTTGCAAGCACTTTGTCATTTTTGTCACCCACCTCCGGACCCTCTCTAACGTTTCCATTTTCTTTTTAAAATGTAGAGCCTAAAACAGCACTGAATACTCTAAATGAGGCCTAACAAATGCTGAGTAGAGAGACACTATCACCTCCTGTCTCTTTCCTCAGAGGCAAACTCAAATTTTCCTGTTACGCTTTCTGTAAACTATTCATGAAATAGTATTTTCCCCAGGTTTGCTGTCTCTTTCTAGGTTTAAACAATAAACATATTGACTGTTATGACCAAAGTTAATCAAATGTCAAAGATAATGATGAAAGTAAATTTAAATCTCATATCCAGATATGTATGCTAGCTCTCATAATATGGATGCAGATTATGCATGAAAGAACTGGGTTTCCCTTAGAGTGAATGCACCCACAACACACACAATGTGTCTACAAAGATATGATATTAGTACAAAAGAACTGGGGTTGGTGAACAACATTTCCACTTTGCTCTGATATTATACTTCTGGTATTTTTTTTTATAAGTAGCAGCATGAATTTTTGGTTGAATTGCATGAATTCCTAATATTGATAGAAATTAGGTCTTTCTAGGTCAAACTGCTTATCTCTCTGCCAGTATAAAACATCTTCCATATAGCAGCCTCTGTGTAGATTGTTCTTCTAAATGCTTTGTCATGTTGAATTTTAAGTGATTCAACTTATGGGACACTTCTCCTGTAACACTATTCCAATCTAACAGATTTCACTCTTAGGATATATTTTTCCTTGATAGCCACCTTACATTTTCTGTTGCTAAAATTCAGTCTGTTATTACTAAATTATAGTCCACAAACCTTATATGGCCTTCTATACTTCTGCTCTTACATCAGTGTCAAGAGAAAAACAGAGATTATAACACTGGATCAAATATCAGTCCATCTAATACAGTGTTCTGTCTCTGACAGAGGCCAGAAACTTCAGAAGGAGATGTATGAAACCCATAGTAAGCAGATGTGGAATACATTGCCCTCATAGAAGGTCTCATCCTGCTTTCCAGTAGTTAAAGTTTGGCTTATGTCCTGATGAACTACAGTTTAATATCCCTTCCATAATTTTAACATTAATTACTATAACTGATTAATTCAGGGGTTTTCAACCTTTTTAAAGAAATGTACCCCTTCTGGTGGTGGCAGCCGGGTGGGGGGGCTTGCACACTGCCACTGTGCCCTGATTTCCCACAGCCGGTTGCATGTGAAGCTCTGCAGGCAGCTGGTAGGCCTCACACCCGGCCAGTCACGCACTGTCCATCAGCAACCCACAGAGCTGCATGTGCGACCAGCCATGGGAAAGCGGAGGTGTCCGGCTGGCTGGGTGGCACCTGTGTGGCCCTCAAAGGGGCACTGCAGCCCTTGTACTCCCCCCTGCCCTTTCCCCAGCCCTGTTCCTGGGAGGTGGTGGCACGGGGTGGTGGCACTCCATCCCTGCCTGCCCACGTGTATTCTCTAGGACAGGGGTGGGCAATTATTTTGGGTGGAGGGCCGCTTATTGAGTTTTGGCAAGCCATCAAGGACTGCATGACAGGCAGCCCAAGGCAGATAAGTACTTATTTTTTACATTTTTTAGGGGCCCTGTGGGCCAGATAGAATGGCCTGGTGGGCTGCATCTGGCCCACGGGCTGCATTTTGCCCACCCCTGCTCTAGGACCTTTCCAAATACCTCTAGGGGTATGCGTACCCCTGGTTGACAACCCATGGATTAATCCTTGAAATATCCAGCTTTCGTTCTTTCAGTCTGTCTGTCTGTCTGTCTCTCTTTTTCTTTCTCTCACTCTTTTTCTCTTTCTCGAGAGTTAGCTAAATTCTTGGCCTTGGTGATTTCTTGTAGCCAAGATCTCAGTGTATAGCATGAAGGTGCTCAGAACCTACTGCAATGGAAGGAAAATGTTAATATATTTGTATTATTTTAGTTTTTGTTTTCAACTGCAATTTAATAGAAGACTTCATTCTGGTATATTATTGTTCTTGTTTGCTTTAGGGGAATCTTTAATGAAATTCACCGAAACCTTTGTAAAAATGTCTTAAAGTAACCAATTTGTATTTGTTATTTGATTGTAACAATTATACTTTAATAATTACAACTGTTTAATGCTCTTAGACTGTCAGTTCATAGTCATTTGTGTAGCATCCTATGTCATTATGAGTCTTATTGCTAAGGAAAGTCCACATTAAAATAGTATACAATAGCTTTTCAAACTCCTGGTGAAAATCATGCATGCATTATGCAGTGTACATATTTCAATAAAATCACTCTTAGAATTAAGGCACTTTTCTAATCCATTCTTCCAAAGAGTTATAAATAAACTAGGAAATGGAGTGTAGATGTAAAATGTTCAGTTAAATTTCTCTGAGGAGAAAAATGGTGTTTGAGAGACAAAAGAAAGAAAAACATAATCCTTAATCCATTTTAAAGTTTTAAAAATAAAAGTAAGGCACCTATTGAAAAATCAGAATAAATTATTTCATAGGCAGGGATATGGTAATTTTACTAATTATTTCTCCCTTTAATGCTTTGAGATCACAAAACAAATAATAATAGTACTATACATGTACTATTTGAACCACTTATTTTAGAAAGGAATTATTTTTAGAGTAAATTTATCTACACTGTTAATTTTAAGACTAATATCCTGTATTTATATTTTTTAATTAAAAATAATCTAACGTCTTAGTCCTAGCGTAGCATTTTGCCCCAGCTTTCTATTTATATGGAGTGATCCCAAAATGTGACTCTGAGGCAGGTGAAGAGAAGGGCAAGCATTATAATTGGGGAAGGCTGGAATGTCAAGATGTTTTTTTCCCCAAAAAATCTTATTTGTTGAAATTGAAATATTAGTTGAAATGTGCTAGTTTCAGCAAAATTTTCAGCATAGGTCTGTGCTGAAATATATAAAATAAATTAAATAATACATATTTTATAAATAATATTTGACACTTTATATATAAATAATGTTTTTATAAATAATACATAAAATATATTAATATCAAATATTAATACATTAGTGTTGATGTAGTGATATTTGAATATATTATATAGTTGATTATGTGGTATTGATATATTAATATTAAGTGTATAATATATATAATTTCAGTTAGAAACCAGATGGAAACCTACTCCAGAATCACCAGTAGCCCTGTGATTAAGGCATATATACTTGGGGTATGGGAGACCCAGTTCACATTTGGGTTCTGTCTAATTCAGGTCAGGCAGCAGAACTCCCTCATTGCTCTAGCCACCAGCTGATTGACTGTTATGGTTTGGTTTCTTCTGTCTCTCTTTTCTGAAAAAAAATTAATATTTTCTCTTTGCAAAACAGGAAAGCTTTCAAAATCATGAGCGTTTTGACAGGCAGGGGAAATAATTTCCCACTTACCTCTAATGATCAAATATGTTTTTGCTCTCTACTGGGTGGAATTGGGACTGCTAAATTGTATTATAGGGCTTGTACCGCAAAGGCGATGTATTTTTTAGTTAAAGCAGTAGACGTTAGAGTGAAATCTGAAGTCTACTGAAGTCAAAACTCTTGATGTTTTGAGAAAGGAAAATCTGAGTTTCATATATACTGTCAGTGAATTTCTGAGTCATTACTGTATGCCTCATAGTGGCAAGCATGAAATCCTAATCAGCCACAGATTTGCTCTAGTTAGTATTATCTTAATTTTACGTGTGGTATAGAAGTGATGTGACTGAGACCATTGTCATGACTCCAGTACAGAAATGTCCTATTGCCTGTCTCAGGTTTGATTATTAGAAATATAGAAAATATGCTTTAAAATGTTTTTCCCAAATATAATTTTTATAATTTCCTGAGGTGTGAAGTGTATTAGTTGGTCCAAATTATTTTTTAAAAGAATTGGATGTGACTGATATACAACGAACAGCCATTGAAGTATTGCATAGCCACTATGATTGTACTTATTTCTAAAACTAATGAGTGGCATTGTGATTGGGTCTGTTTGTGGCCCATTTAATTCAATATTAAGAGGCCGTCTAACAATCCATGATGAAGCTGAACAGGAAGACATATTAAACTGTCTACTTAACCTATTTAGATCAGAAGAGACAGCTTTTGCCTCAAAGCTGTTTTTCTTCTTTGTTTCACTATGGGAAAACTTTACTAACTATCATATTTGTATCTGTTTGTAGGAATCTCTGTGGCCTTACTTATTTGGAGTGATTATTGTTCCTTCAGTGATCCAAGTTGTGATTTTGCCTTTCCTTCCTGAAAGTCCTCGCTATCTCTTACTTGAAAGGCATGACATACACAGAGCAGAAAAAGGTATGGTTTATATATTTTTCTCCCTAAAGCATTTATTTTTATATGAAATGGGCATACACTGGCAATGAATACATGCTTTTCCATAGCCTAATTGATAAATATTATGACAGCAAACAGTTCTTTTATGCTTATTCTCTCTTCCCATTATCTTTTTATGCAGTGAATTGGCTGTCAGCTTGCTTTATAAGGGAAATTCCTTAGTTTTCTATGGAATAAGTACAGCATGGTCAGTGGTGTTAAAATTTTCCCAAACTATCCTGCTGTTGCGTCTCAGTCTTCACCTGGCAGGATTTATCTAGAGGGATGAAAGTTCAGTTCATTTTCCATAGACACTCATTATATACATGCTCAGCCTCACTGCTAAAGAGGTCACCAAATGTGCAGCTGTTCTGTAGTAACTGGATTAAACCTATATGCTTATGTAATTGAATAGGCTTTAGATGGTAAGCCCACTTTAAATTTAGGCCACGTTAATTTAGGATAAGAAGCTCCAATACACCTTTATCTTCCTGAGCCATCCATCCATAGACTACAGCCACTCTTGATATCTGTTGGCTGTGCAGGACAGTTTCATTGCCGCATTCCCAGGTTCGGCATGTGCACTTGGAAGCAGGTTGGTGTGACATGCCTGAGAATATTCCCTCCTGAAACAGTGGGCATGGCCCTAATTGATTATTAATTTCAGTTAAAGCTGTGGAGTGTCTAAGTATTGCCATGAGAGCCTAATTTTTAGGTTCCTGTGCCTGAAGCCTTGGTCAGGATCTCTGAGGGTGCATATAAATTTTACGTTTTTACAAGCAGAATTGCAGTTCCCCCAGGAGAAGCCCTAGGTGTACCACACATTTTCTACTGGAACAAAAAGGGCAGGTTCCATAAAAAAAAATCAGCCAACTCCAGTGAGGGAGAAGTACCCCAGTAGAGTTTCTACTGGGAAAATGAATGCTTAAACACATACCGATAGGAGCCGCCATGCTGTCCTCCATTATCCCAGCATGCTTTGCTCTGTCTGTCCCTCCCCTCCAGGGAGACAGTCCATCACTCAGGCTGGATTCCACTGTTCCAGCCAAGCATAAAGCAGACTACTCCCCCTGACTCCTTTGGGGCCAAAACCCCCCGCCTCTTTCACCAGACCTGCACTGTACTCCAGAGGTGCAGGGAGATGATGTTGAGGCAACTGTGTGCCTGTAGCAAGTTTGGGGCCCTAGGGTTCCCTTTTTCCTGGCTTGCCATACCTTGATGTAATTAGTTAATTTGTAAAAAGGGAGGCTGCCCTAGAGTCCCAGAGAAAACCCTTGTCTGTCCATCAGCCAACAGGTCCCTCCAGACTCTGCTGGTCCCAGTCCTGCCCCTCAAGCACTAGGTGGGCCTTCCTGGCCGTCCATGTCCTCCAGGGCACCTGTTGCCTTATGGGCTATTTGTGGCTTCCTTCTGCCCCTATAGCCACATCCATGCTTCACAGATGTCCCCAGTTATCATTTTGAGGCAAAATCTGTCTCTTGTTGGGCCCCTCTCAGCCTAGGTTTCCTGTGCCAGACTGGGTTTCCAGGCTTCAGCCCCTGTCTTGCCTCCCTTCTGCTTGGGCTGTGAGTCCCTGACCAAGATCTCACCCCTCTTGAGCTGTGGGCCCCTGGCCCTGGTTTAACACCTTTTGGGCTGTGAGCCCGTAGCCCAGGTCCCATCCCTCTCTGGCCATGGACTCCTGGCCATGATTTCACTTCTCTTGGCTCTGCGCCTTTGGCCCTCGTTTTTTCTCTCGTCTCCTTTGAGAACTCCATCAGTAGTTGCACCCCCCTCCCCTGCCCAGGTCTGCGTTGCACGCTGATAGGTCCACACTGACAGGGTTCAGCTGGACCCTGATTAAAAAACTGTTCCCAGTGGCTGAGACCAGCTAGGCAACCCCATGAACATGCATCCCTCTAACTGCCAAAAACTAATAAAGGCTTTATTTCATCAGAATGCAAAGGCTACCTAGCAGAGACTGGCATTAGGATTCCTTTTACCATGCCCCACCATGAGGATGGGAGGCAGATAGGAAGGTTAGGTTGGAGATGCGTGAAGAGACATAGTTACAGGAAGTGCTGGCTCAGTATACGGAGCTAGTTCAGCAACCATCTCCTTGAACGTGCCCTGGCACATGTGCAAGTTCTGCAGCCATTGCTTATCATCCCAGCTGCCCAGGACAGTCAGCTCCCACCAGTCCCTGCTCATCTCATAGAGCCTGGAATGCTAATCAGTGGTCAGGAATTGATCCCAGAGCATCCCAGACTGCATGGTTTTTAGTTGGGCCTCATTTTCCTTGGTCTCATAAAGCGATCGGCCAGGTCTATAAGGCTTGGTCATACACACCAGTAAGGAGCCTTGTGCAGGAGTGCATGCCCTGGATCCTTGCAAAGGAAGTAGCATCCCTTGGGTCACCTGAAGACAGACACCACAAATCTTCTTAAGTTTCCAGTGAGAGGGAATGCAAGAGGACAAGGAGGTAGCAGGCAGCACCACTCCTGGGTCCTTCAGCTCTTGTGAGAGAAGTTAGTTCTGCTAAGAACTAACCAGAGAGAGGCTTTTATCTTGAAGTCTCACAGCAGAAAGCGTGGGAGGGGGGGACTGAACAGGAGTTTGCCAGAGGAGCATGCACATGCCTGCCAATCAGGGCTGCCCTGTGTACTCAGCTGCTCTTGGCAGTTTCAGGAGCCAGAGGAGCCCACAAAGCACAATGGGATGCATGTACAGGAGCCCTTTGGCTGTGGCCCATTGCCAGGGCGGGTTGTTTGTGCAGCACTCACTAAACCCTCAAATGGTTGTACAGTGCTCTACTGGATGAGTTTTCCAACCAGGGAAACAAAACCACTAGACTTCCAGTGGTTCATTAGAATGGTTGTACATACCCTGAACCAAGCTGGAATAGTTCTGCGGAGAGTTTTAAAACAAGCGTAAAGTTTTAAATAAGGTCTAAAAAAAGAGCTTGACAAGTTAATTATGGATTAGGATGTTGTAGTACCTTTCAAAACTACATTATAAAACATTGTTTTGAAAATGAATCATGTTTAATGGCTATTTTCTTCTGCAGATGACTATAAGAACTATATTGGAAAAAATGTGTTACATGTGTGCTTTGCGTTGTTGTTAATCTGTGACTTAAAGAGCTGATTATTTCACAGTTATTATATTCCTATTTCTATGGTAATTAAAATAGAATTTTGTGGCTATCATCATTTGAGTTTCAAAGGGAAGAATCCTTGGCTTTCTGCTCAAGACTGTAGGTTTGCAGTTTTTAAACACATTGGTTCATTTGTAAAATACCTGCACATGGATTCTTGCATTCCTTTTAGCTGGGTTGAGCTCTCATACCAAATCAGCACATTTTAGAATTAACAGATCACATGACTATCTGGAGATATCATCTAAATGTAGTAATTAATTTACAACCAACTCAAGAACTAATTTTTTTTCTGGCATGAATACTATTCTATACATTGTTTTCCTTTTTATGTATGATAGCCTCATGCTGTCACTATAGTAATATTTTCCATCAGTGCATTTAATGATGTGACTAACAACTGTCATGAATGGTTAATCCTCTCTTTCATCTTCTTCCTAGGGACAGAAGTGTGTATGTGCAGAGGACAGTGTATTGTTTTGATAGCGTTCTGGATTTGGATGTTTTTAGTATACGTGCAGCTAAGTAAATACAGGCGACCCTTGCCATTCACAGGCGATACGTTCTCGTATCGCCCGTGAATGGTAAAATCCGCGAATAAGGTACTGCATTCATGAACGCCATCTGTGTTCATGAACTCAATGCCCCTGGCAGTTGGGGGGGCGGGGGGGTTGGCACGGCTGAGCTGGTGGTGGCCGGGGCCTGACGGCAGCAAGCACACAACTCCCAAGGAGCTCCTTTAAATGTATTTAAGAAGCAGGTTCGGCATTCATGAATATTTGAAACTGCAAATGCCAAATCCGTGAATAGTGAGGGTGTCCTGTGTTTAGAATACCTTCAGATGTTATGGTAGAAGTTTGTGTTGTATCACACTGTTAGACCTGGGCAAAACTCTCTGCATTTTCTTCTATGCAGTTTTATGAGTAGTAAACAGAGTAGTAAACAGAGAGAAAGTGAGCACACAAAACAATGCAAACCAAACCGGGCCATTCCTTGGCCTGGCTTTTGATGAGAATGATTTCCCAGAGCTGAAATTCACTGCTTCATAGAGGGTGAATTAAGAGCTATGCATCTGATTGAAGTAGTTAAATGATGCCTAGACCCATGCTGGTACTCTGTCCAGATTCTGACCAAAAAGTCTGACATCTGATCACTTCCCAGTTGTTAGTTGCACTTTGGAGCTGCCTCTGCCTTCGTATTAATACCTAAAAATATAAAACTATAATTCATCATCTAGCTTGGCAGGCTCTGTCCTTTAGGACTCTACTAAATGCCACAGACACTTAAGGCTATATTGCAGACTGTTCCAAAAAACCTGTGTGACCCATCATGTTTGTAAGATGTTCATAGTGACTGTGTTTTCTCATGTAGAACAAGGATTGAATTTGGTAATTCTGCTGCTTTAAAAGGAAAACAAAACTGTAGATTCCCAAGACTAGAACATACTAGACAAAATTTGAGGCAAATTTAACAGAAAAAGATTCTTTAACAAGCTGGCATAAAGTTTGGGCTTTATTTAATTTCAATGGTCAGTGCTTATAATGGCTCAACAGCACTTTTTACATACGTATTTTAAGAACAAGTTTATTGGTAATCTGGCAGTACAGGAAATGACTGGCAAAATAAAGGAAGATTGTGAAGTAGAAGGCAAACCTGTCATCATAAAAGCAGTGATATCAACACCCAGTTGCCAGTGATTTAGTTAGCTGAAATAAGTTTTAGTAACCAACTTACTGGAAATAGCTTTCCTGAGTCAAAAAAGTGATAAAGATGGGCAGTCAAAGAGACTACACTTTTAAATTTAGAAGCTTTTCTAACTCAGGAGTCTTATACCATTAAATCTTAT